CTCTCATGGCCTTCAGAAAAGCTGTGAAGACCTGGCTCATTGTTGAGGTCCAGCCCCGACTGAAATGAATGTATGTGTATCGTTTTAACTTGTCTTATTTTATTTTTACTTTCTTTTATTTTCTTTCTCTTCCCTTCTGTAAGCCGCCCGGAATCCTTTGGGATTGGGCAGCCTATAAATAAAATTAAACTTACAAACTTACATTTCTAATTAATGGATTTTTTTTCTTCACAGTTTTATACAACTATATCAATTTTCTTGCACTTGCTATTTTTCTTTACATACTATATTTTTTGTGAAATGTTAATCATCTATTTCACAGTGTTCTACATAAAATTTTATTATAAAAACATTAATTTGTATTTTAGTCTTGAATTTTTTTTCAAGGACAAATATTTTTTTTAATGATTTTGAATTTGAAACATTTCTATTCGTAGCACTTGATTTTTGTATTATGCTATTAGTACAAATGCTTCATGCAGTTTTTGTTCAGTTTCAGAGTTGTTGGTTACAGTTACGTAGTTGGTGAACATTGAAATTCAGAAAGTTCTCTACTTTATTTAATTTAATATATCTTTTATTGTATGTTTTAGCATAGCTACACCATTAACAATGGATATGTATGCGTGGACCAGAAAAAAAGCAGTGTTTATCAATGGTTTAATTCTTGGTGCTGTTGGCATCGAATCAGTGGCTGTGTTTTTAGCAGTTAAAGAACTTTCTAAAAGGTAATATGTTCAAGTTATACTGTTTCAGTATACTATTTATGTTCACAAAAATCTGATTTCTAAAAAAGGAATAATTCCTAGAATACAAATCGCTGTGTGTAAATGTATTCTCCAATAGTGACAAATTTCTGTAATATCATTGATACTTAAATTATTACGAACAAAGGACTCAAGGTTTGAATATTGAAAATTTTCCTTGGATAAAATATGGGTACTGTAATTTTAGTTTTCATTATTCAACAGGATTGGTGAAGGTGCAATCCTCTATGGAGGTCTAGTCATTATCTTGGTTGGATTCTTTGTTCTGTTACCTTGGGGAAATCAGTTACCTAATATCCAATGGGCAGGTATAAATTTAAAAGTTTGAATTATTTTAATGCCTTTGATGAATACAATTAGCCATATATGGTATTTCTTTGTATGTTTTCAGACATAAGGAACAATTCTACTCCAGGAAAGATCTTTGGTGAAACCTTTACATTTTTGTGGATGTCACAAATTGAATTTTCATCCAATAATACAGCTGAAGCAACAGGATGTCCTAGTATACAATCTTGGTGCAGTTATACTCCAGTAATTCATCTGGGCCAGTATATCACTTCTGACATTCTAATAGGATTGGGTTATCCAGCCTGTAATGTGATGTCCTATACTCTATATTCAAAAATTTTAGGGCCTACACCCCAGGTAAGATTTAAATTTAGGTGGATACGTTTTTAAACAGGTTTAATAGTTTTGGAAAACAAGTTGTCAAGTGGTAGATTACTGAGCTTGGAACTCTTTTTTTTGTCATGCTTTGGTTAAGCAATAAAACTACATAGCATCAGTATATTTTATCATCTAGCTCACATGATTGGGTGCAGTACAGCTATGAATTGCTTCCTGTAATAGTGTTGTTTCAGTGGTGTCAAACGCAAGGCCCATGGGCAGATCGAGCCCACAGGGTGCTTAGATCTGGCCTGCAGGCTGCCTTGGAAACAGCGAAGGACTGGCCCACAGTGCTTCTGCCAGCAAAAACAGAACTTGGGAGTCCGTTTTTGCTGGCAGACTGCTTGAACCACCACAGGTGCCCCAGACGAGTGACAAGCTGACCATGCTGTTCCTGGCTCACCCAAGGTCAAACACAACCCTGATGGGGCCCTCAATGAAATCGAGTTTGACACCCCTGTCTTATTTTATTAAAGATTTTTTTATCCTTTCAGATTATCAAAATTTTTAGTAAAGCTGAGCTACTGAAAGTTTTGTGTATGAGGGACGAGATTTTTTTGGGACAGCAATCATTTTATTAAAAGCTATTATTGCTATCCTATAGGGACCTGGATCTTCCATCAGGCCTTGGGCAAAGGAGTTTCATGAATTTATGAATATGCTACAATCTGTTTTAAATTTTGTATTTCCTTACAGGTTGTTTGATAGTTTGTTTTTTTAATATTATATATTTTTAACTTAGCTTATATGCCACCTCGAGTTGTTTGACAATCAGACCATCTCATAAATCCTAATACTGCTATTGCTATTATTACTAATGATGATGATGGTGGTGGTAGTTTGCTATTGCAAAATTGGGAGAATGATAATAGATTTTGTTTGAATATTTTAGGATTAAAACCTGTCATTAAAACTGAACACAATCTGATTTATTTTAGGGCATTTATATGGGATGGCTAACTGCTTGTGGAAGTGGTGCGCGCATTCTGGGCCCATTATTTGTCAGTCAACTCTACAGTTCCTTAGGACCCCGCTGGGCATTTGGTTTTATCTGTGGAATAGTCATTCTTTCTCTCTTACTACTTGAAGTGGTGTACAAGAGACTTATTGCATTTTCAGTCCGATACGAGAGCCTACAAGAACAGATCTCCTAACTATCTCTGCTCAGTCTTGTTTTACTCTAATCATTTGCTCTTTTCACTATTTTGCATCTTTGGCAGATGGTTTATAGAATTATCATTCACCTAGACTGACAGTATTTCTACCACAAGATTTATATCAGTTTAATACTGGAAATGACAGACTGTGATACAGTAGATGTTATTATTTTGGAGCAGTTTTAAGAAATGACACTAGTTCTAATTATATACACTGGATATGTTTAAAACACATTGATTCTGTGAATCATGTCTTAAATGAAACTCTATTTAAACTGAACTTAAAAAGGCTATTTATTCTAATGAAGTTTTATGAGAATGATTAATGTTTATGCATTTTTATAATTGGTTGGCTTTTTTAAATTGAATGTATTTTAAGTAAAAAATAGCAGAAACATGCTGATATTTTGTTACGCATAATTTATTTTGAGATTTCCCACTCATTCAGTGTATATTTTATATTTTAAAAAATGGTTCAAATAATATCAAGATTAAAAGTAAAAATAAGGAATGTTGATGCAGCACTTGTAACAGAGATAAGCACTGAAACTGGTAGTACACTCCTCAGATTTAATAATTGGAGGATATCTGAGGTTTCCACTATTACACCAAGAATCTTAGTCACTGCTTTCCTGAGCAGTAAAACTTTAACCTATTGTGAAATGCCTTCATTTTATTAAATCTTTAAATGGTAATTGCCCAGTGTTGAAGTTACCTGATTGTGCAACAATGTAACCAAATTGATTTTAGATTTGGCTTGCATAGTTCCATGTCTCATAAGCAGGATTTCCAGATCACAAATCAGAAATCTGGTGATGTCAGATGTTGCTGAGACTCAGGAGAAATGAAAATAGTACGCCCCTTGGTGATGTCACAGAGGTGGGGTTCTGGTTGCACAGCACATCCTTTCACTTATTTGTAGATCACTTATATGACATGTTTGGTAGCAAGATTTTGGATAGGGAAATAGAAAATGGTGAAGTCATAAATTGTTTTGTGTTTGACACAGCTGGTATCAGTTGATTAGGGCCAGAGATGGTATTCAGCAGGTTCTGACCAGTTCTGGAGAACAGGTAGTGGAAATTTTGAGTAGTTCGGAGTACCGGTAAATACCACCTCTGGCTGGCCACGCCCCCATCTATTCTCTGCCTCCTGAGTCCCATCTGATCGGGAGGGAATGGGAATTTTGCAGTAATCTTCCTCTGCCATAGCACCAAGCCACGCCCATACAACCGGTAGTAAAAAAAATCAAATCCCACCATTGTATAGGGCTTTGTGGTTCCAACTAAATACTAAAGTGTGGATATCTGAGCCAAAGTCAAAGATAGCAATGACAGATCAGGAAAGTAGTAGGAAGGGAAGGAAAATATTAGGAAGAATGCATAGTGTGATGGGACATGCCATGTGGACACATCACTATTTATGGTCAAACAGGGAAGGGAATGCATTGGAAGCTGGTGAGGCAGGCCATTATTTGGGGGACTATATTACAATGGAAACTGTGAAAGAGAAGTGTGCCAATCTTGGCTTATTCATTTTATAAAAATCACGCTAATCCCCTGCTTGGTTTTGTTTCATCCAAAACCTGATACAATAACAATACTCAAAGATCAAAGTTTCTGCTGAAGCATAACTCATCCAGAATGGTTTGGCAGAATATGTGTATCTAAAATTTGAAAAAAAAACATTTTCTATTTTGTGCATACCTGTTTCTTTTTGTTTCTGTTTGTCTAAGTCAAAGCATAATCAAATAAAATACATAAAAGTCTTTATATTCTATGTTCTATATATAATATACATGCATATATTCTCATTTCCACATTTTTTCCACTGAACTGTCTACCAGTAGTGAACAATGTAAAAACCAGGACTGTACAATATTTCACGTTTGGTCTCCAATATATGTTTTCCAACATTTTAGAGCAGCTGTCATCCTGGAAAAGAGTGGGATTACTTCAAAATATGGCAGATAGTTACTATTTTAGTGCTTTCTTCCATTCTGAAGCACCATAGAGATTGAAACTAAAGCACTTTATAGCCATAGTAAAAATTCATTTTCCTATTTTTTTTAAAAAATTGTGAAACTATGTATTTTACAGTGATCTTCACAAAGAAGACAATTAATGAATATTAATAGAGAATATTAATGAAAGTCCTAATGCTTCCTGTTTTCACAATGAAGGTTAAAAAAAAATAGAGGAGAGTAATGGCAATTAATCCTGTCTGATGTCATTAAATGTGCTGTGCTGTTTCCTCAACATCATAGGATATGGTTGTTTATAAATATATAATAGTTTCTATTATATGTGATGTTTATTTATTGATCAGTTAAATATAATATAGACCTAAACAAGTAAATAATGCCACATAACGGTAACCTCTAGGTAATAAAGTCATATGAAACTGTGATGAAATTTGCCTAATTTATATTTTATTCTCTGACCTGCTTTCTCCTTATTTTGAAATTTTTACAATTGGGACCCGGATTATTGTTTTCTCCAGAACTCTTTCAGTGCTATAGGAGAGGGGTTTCTTTTGTCAGCCCTATTTGCTCTTTTTATATTAGCTTTGACTTCCAATGCAAATAAAGCAAGACAAATACTTCTATTAGCTCAATAACTTTTTTTTACTATATTAGTTCTATTATTCCTGTTGTAACTTTCAATTTCTCTTTAAACTACAATACAAACCTAAATATAGTTTCTAGAAGAAAACCCTCAGGAATGTTTCAGTCACACTAGATTTCTTTCCCAAATTAAATAATACAACACCAGAATCATTATAAACCTGTTGCTTGAGATGCATGTAAGTGTACAAAACGTATGGATTCTATTGTAGATTAGAGTTTTATTAGTAACTAGTATTACTGTGCATACGTAGACATTTGTGTTAAATAAATCAAGGGATCTAAATTATCACTGCATTTATTTTTTAACACTTTTGCAGGGATATTTCATTAAAAAGTTACAAAAATATAAAACAATCATAAAACAATACTTTTCATATCTGAAAATAGCATAAAATACAAAATATTTACAGGCATATATTGCAATAGCAGAGGTGTTTTTTTCTTGAGAGCTGCGGAAACAGAACATGCACATATATACATTTGTGGAGGGAAAACCAAGATGGTTACAGGATTTTCTATAAATTACATGAAATGCAAGTAATTTTTCTTTAATGTTTTAAAAGTAGAACACTTATACATTACTTCCAGTCAGGAAAAACCAGTTTGGGTTTTTTGAGGAAAGTCTACTAGTTATTTAAATTTGTCATACATCGTTTTGTCAGTGGGGGCCAACTGGATTGGTAAACATTACCAGAATGGAAGATAGACAGTGCAACTTTTCTTTGATGAATTCTGGAAGTTTCTCATCTTCTCTATACCTAAGAAGATACCAATATTCCAATTTTAGTCTTTTGGGATAACACTTTTTATTCTACAACGTTCCTGTATGTAAGAGAAGAATCTTACAGTAAGTAAGAACTGCACTGAAGGGACCAAAATTGTAATGAACTCCATTGCAATTTTTGGCTAGGTTTTAGTTTTCAAAACTATATTAAATTGTAGTGCAAACCTAAAATGGTTTGACAATGGATTCCCAACTACATTTCAGTGCAATGGAGGGATAAGAGGCATAAACTATAGTGATGTTTGTCCTCAGCTACAAAGTGGATGGAAATCTCTGAAGCACAAGAGATTGTGCTTTTCCCACTAAATATGCTGAAAGCTGGTGCTTTGCTTTGCAGCAGGTCAGTTTTCTAATTTTCTTTTATTAAAAGTTATTTTTTAAAAATAGGTAAGTTAGAAGAGGATCAAAGTGGAGTCTACAAGCTTTCACCTCTTGTATTAAATATGATGAAAGCTATTACCTCATTAACAAATGAAACCAATGGTCTAATGATTTAAACCACAGTTTCAAACAAAAGATAAGGGATTTAAAAAATTAACAATTGTATGCTATGGTTGTATTTTGCACATACAGAACAAAAATTGGTCAACCATATATAACCTGCACTGTGGACAATAACGTGTGGTTGTGTGTGGTACAAATTCAAAAAACAGGATTGAGTAAATTATGTTAACCATAAATAGATTACATCTTTTTCACATTTCTTCTACATAAATATACTTTAAATACTTGAAGTTCCTAAAATTGATTCCCCAACTGCTGTTTTATGACATTACAAGTTTTTGTTGCTGTATAATGTTAAAACACAACCACTAGATGAACTTGCACATAATTGTAGAACATTGGTTTCTGCACAAGTGTTTATGCAGTTATCCAGCATAGGAGGTAGGGACTCCAGCCCACCACAGGAAGAGGAAGAAGTCAGGCCTCTCCACTGAGATGAGGGAAATTATAACTCTTGCCATCTCCCAAGGGATTGCGGAAGGCATGAAGCAGAAAAAGGGCAGTAAGGCTGGGACCTCTAAGAAAACGGGTCCCAAATGGGACTGAACACGCCCCGGCATCTCCCAGCGGCTCAACCGCTACGGAGGAGTCCGCCCTACAGGAAGGGGAGGTAGAGGATTTTGAGCTGTCTGAGGATGAGGATCTCTCGCCTGATAAGCCAGCATTCACCGGCCTCTTTAAGCCTTCCCTATTTAAATCAATTCTTCCTAAGGCGAAGGCATCCACGGAATTGGGCTCTATTCCCAAGGGGTCAGCTGCAGGAACCTCTTCCACTAAGGATCACAAGGAGGGTCTGTTTAAGGAGCCACCCTTGGCCCAGGAATCCATTCCGGTTCCAGACCTTTTTATGGACGTGGTTCAGAGGCAGTGGATTCAGCTGGGAACCCTAACAAACCCCAGTGGGGGGACAAGATTCTCTATGCAGTAGATAACAGGATGGAGGAGGCATTGAAGCTTCCCGAAGTGGATGCTCCAGTGGTCTCCCTGACCTCTAACTCGAATCTGCCGGCGGACCTCTTGGAAGGTCTCAAGGCAGAAGACAAAAAATCAGAGAAGGCGTGTCTGAAGACTCACCAGGCGGCCGCCTCGGCCATTAGGGCTTCAACCTCCGCATCCTTTTTCATCCGCTCCTCGCTCCTCTGGTTGAGGCAGCTGAGGGCGAAACCCCTCTCCTGGAGGTCAAGGTGGAAACACGATCTCACCAAAATCATCACCGCGGTCGAATATTCTGCAGATGCCTCCCTGAACGTGGCAAAATTTGCATCCAGGGCGCTAGCTTCCAACGTGACCTCTCGACGCCTACTCTGGCTTCGCCACTGGCAGACGGAGATGAAGGCCAAGCGGAAGCTGGCCTCAGCCCCATTCAAGGGGGGTCTTTTGTTTGGGGAGGCTTTAGACAAATTCACTATAGAAACAAAGGACAAGAGAAAGGTCTTACCGGTGACTCTCAAGAAGTCGGCTCACAAAGGGTCTGGCTCCTTTTGGAGACAGCCCTTTCATCCCCAGGACAATGCCCAACCTTCCATCTCTTCTTCATATTCCAGGTCCTACTCCCAGCAGGGCGATAGGGCACAGGATAGGGGGTCCTTTGGGTCCCGTGGCAGACAACAACAACATAGCTCCTTTCGTAAGCCCTTTTGTGGCGGTTCCAACTCCAGGAACTTCCGCCGCGGAAAATGACCATCACAGGGGTCCCCCCATAGGAGGTCGCCTGTAATTCTACGCAGACAAGTGGGGGGAGATAACCACAGACAAGTGGGTGTTGAGCATGGTCCAGAGGGGACTCCAGCTGGAGTTCCTCTCCCTTACCCAACGGACGTTCATCCGTTGCCCCTCACCCAGGAGTTCCCTAAAAAGGGAGCTCATGCAGGCGGAAATCCGGCATCTCATTCAAATAAGGGCTATAGAACCAGTGCCCAGGGAGCAACAGAAGCAGGGGTTTTACTCTATCCTATTTCTGGTGCCCAAGGCGTCCAGGGGGTGGAGGGCCATCCTGGACCTAAAGTGCCTGAACCTCCATCTGGCATACAGGCGGTTCAAAATGCAATCCCTCCATTCCATCTTGGATTGCGTGAGGCGGGGGGACCTCCTCACTTCAATAGATCTGAAGGAGGCCTACCTGCACGTGCCTATACATCCGAATCATAGGAAGTTCCTGAGGTTCTTCTTTGAGGCAGAGCACTATCAATACCGTGCTCTTCCCTTCGGACTCTCCTCCACACCCAGAACATTTACGAAGCTGCTGGCTGTAGTGGCAGCTCACCTCCAGAATCGTCCCATCCGCCTGGAGTGTTATCTAGATGACATCATTATTCACTCCTCCAGCCAGGCCCAGGCGCGGCGGGACATCCAGACCACCATCAGGACTCTCCAACAGCACGGGTTTTTGGTGAACCTGAAGAAAAGCCATCTGGAGCCGACCACACGCATACAACACCTGGGCGTCATTCTGGACTCGAACTCTTGTCAGGTTTCCCTGTCCCCGGAGCGCCTGAGGACTCTCAGAGACAAGGTGCGAATTTGCAGCACATCCAGATTCAGTGCAGATTGTCCAGTTATTCCAACTACTGGGCGTCATGATCTCATGCCTGAAGGTGGTTCCCTGGGCTCGTCTACATGCCAGGGAACTACAATGTTTCCTGCTGTCCATGCAAAGGGCAAAGGACAGCAATTCGCACAGGCACATCCGTGTTCCTCCCAAGGTGACTTGCTCTCTAGCCTGGTGGTCGAAAGCAGTGAAGAGAGCGTGTCTGTTCAAAGAACCCGAAAGGGTCGTGGTAACCACCGACACCAGCCTACAGGGGTGGGGAGCGCATTGCCAGGGCCTCCTGGCCCAAAGACTGTGGAGCCAGCAGGAGTCTTCCCACAGCATCAACTGGCTGGAGCTCCGGGCAGCCCGCCTCGCTCTACATCAGTTCTCCCCCCAGGTGACGGGCCAGCACGTTCTGTTGCTCACCGTCAACATAGCAACGAAGGCCCACATCAACAAAGAAGGCGGCACGCACTCCAGATCACTGATGGCGGAGGCGGAGGCTCTGGGCAGGTGGGCCGAACGGCACCTGCTCTCCATCAAGGCAGACCACATTTCAGGAACCAGCAACCAGGAGGCGGATTGCTTGAGCTGGCAAACGATAGACCATTCAGAGTGACGGTTGCACCCGGACATATTCAATCAGATCGTACGGAGGTTCAGCCAACCACAGGTCAACCTCTTTGCCACCCGCCTCAACACCCACCTGCCAAGATTTTACTCCCATTACCAGTCTCCAGGGGCAGAGGGGACGGATGCCCTGCAATGCAGATGGCCTTCCGGGCTCCTGTATGCATTTCCGCCTCTCCCGCTCATCCCGCAGGTTGTGGCCAAGCTCCTGGAGGAGGAGGCAGAGATTCTGCTCGTGACACCCCCTATTGGCCCAGGAAGTCCTGGTACGCAGACCTTGTCAGTCTTTCCATCCAAAAGCCCTGGAGGATTCCTCATGAGACCATATCCCTCAGCCAGGGGGCAATATTCCACCCAGAGCCCCAGTGGCTACAATTAGCCATCTGGCACCTGAGGGGGAACTCCTGAGGAGTCAGAAGTTCTCTGACAAGGTCATACAGACCATACAGGCGTCCAGGAGACCTTCGACGGCCAGAATATATGAGGCCAACTGGGGGGCATTTTCCACATGGTGTAAAGGCAAGGGGCTGCGAGACATAGAGGCGTCCATTCCGCAGGTGCTGGATTTTCTGCAAGATGGGTTGGATAGGGGAGTGGCCCCCAAGACCTTGCGCCACCAAGTAGCAGCCTTGTCCATCGTTCTCTCCAGGGGTTCCTCCCGTACCTTGAGCCAACACCCTCAGATGAAGAGCTTCCTGAAAGGGGCGTCGAATATCAGGCCCCCTACGGTGCACCGATACCCATCATGGAACTTGCCTCCGTGCGTTAACGGGAGCTCCATTCGAGCCACTTCGGACTACATCTCTTCGGCACCTGACCGTTAAAACAGCCTTCTTGGTCGCGATCACCTTGGCTAGGAGGGTGTCAGAGATAGCAGCCCTCTCAGTCAGGGAGGACCTATGCATTATACACCCGGATAGGATCATACTAAGGCTTGACCCTACGTTTGTGCCTAAAGTCAACTCTTTGCAACTTTGCAACTTTAATAAGATTTGCATGCCGCCCACTCCCTAGGGACTCTGGGCGGCTCACAACAAAATAAGACATAAAAATATTAAAAATACAATTATTTAAAATAAGCTATCATCCATTCAATCACATGGGGCTGGATTTTAATCAACAGCCCCAGGCCTACTGGAACAGCCAGGTCTTGGTCGCTTTACAGAAGGCCGGGAGAGTGGTAAGGTCCAGATCTCTGCGGGCAGCTCGTTCCATAAGGCCGATGCAGCTACAGAGAAGGCCCTCCCTTGAGGAGCCGCCAACCGGCATTGTCCAGTCGGCACCCGGAGGAGACCCAACCTGTGCGATCTTATTGGTTGTTGGGAGGTGAATGGCAGGAGGCGGTCTCTCAGGTAACCAGTTCCAATACCATGTAGGGCTTTAAAAGTAACGACTAGCACCTTGAAGCGGGTCCGGAGACCAATGGGGAGCCAGTGCAGCTCGCAGAGGATAGGTGTAACATGGGTGTATCTAGGTACACCCATTATCGCTCGCGCGGCTGCATTCTGGACCAACTGCAGTCTTCAAACACTCTTCAGGGGCAGCCCCATGTAGAGCGTGTTACAGTAATCCAGGCTTGAGGTGACGAGGGCATGAGTGACCATCACGCCCTCGTCACCTCAAGACTGGA